ATATATTATATTATAAGATATAACTACTATATAATATATTTTAATTATATTATAATATTTAAGGGTAATTATGGAAAAAAAATAAAAATAAAAAAAACTTAGAATGGTCATTCCTCCCGGATGAGGAAGGAATGATTATTCACCCAAAATGGGGGTGAATAGCTATTTCTTTTGAATGATCATTCTTTTCTTATCAATCCAACTAAACATCAAATTAGAATTTCATTCCATTCTATTACATTCCTTTACACCCAACAAGCACACCCTTAGTTATTTGGTTTTTTTTTTTTTTTTGTCCTTTGTGACGTTTAATTTTTAAGCTATGTTTGGTAAGAAGAAAGACAATACTAAAGAAAGAAAAACATATAATCAAGCTGAGAAAAAAAATTAAAAAAATTAATAATAAGGCCTTTCTCTTATCTCTTTGGAGAAGGATTAAAATCACGAGACTTTTTTTAGTGTTCTCTCTTTTTTAAAACACCGGTATTGTATATTTATCAGTCGTCAGATCTGTATTAAATCTGGTTAAAATCAAATCAGATTGAAAAAGTAATACAGATTCAACGACCGATAATTAAAGAATACAGATGTAAAAATTCTCTACAATCACTACTCGATATATTCTCTTCTCTTTTCTTTCATGCCAAACAACCACAGATCTAAAATCCTTCCGTAATATTTACATCCCTCTCACTCCCCCCGTAGCAAACAATTGAATGTTTTAACTTGAATTTAATTTAGTGAGAGGGAAGTTAGTAAATTACTGGCATGTGCATTATATATGACATAAATTTGTTCCTAACAAAAAAAAAAAGGAGGTTTATCTTTGCTTCGTTTTCAATACATTCTTTAAAGGAATAGGTTCTTTAACTTTGGAGCTTGGTAGTTGGTACTTGTTAACTTTGTGAAAGTTGAGAAAGACTATAAGGGCACTTTTCTAATTGTTTTATGACTTTTTTTCCATGTGTGAACTTTACACACAAACTTGATACATATATGTAGGATTTTCGTTCCCTACCTTTTCTATCCACCAACTTAAGTGACCACCTTGGTTAGATACAACACTTTATTTCATAATCTAACATTTAAAATAAAACCGCATTTGCTTAGAACGAAAGGTGAACTTAAAGTTGCATCAAACTAAAGTCGCGTAAAACAAAGATTTTTTTATGAAGGTATCGTATTATTTTACAAATCTATCGTAATTTTTACAACTTTAATGTTTAAAATTTTTACAAGTTTTAATATAAAATTCACAAATTGTCGTATTCTTTTAAAATTTATACATCTATCATGACTTACATATTTTAACGTTCAAAATTTACAAATTCCAACGTAAAATTCAAAAAAAATTTAAAAAATTAATAATAAGGCCTTTCTCTTATCTCTTTGGAGAAGGATTAAAATCACGAGACTTTTTTTAGTGTTATCTCTTTTTTAAAACACTGGTATTCTATATTTATCAGTCATCAGATCTGTATTAAATCTTGTTAAAATCAAATCAGATTGAAAAAGTAATACAGATCTAACGACCGATAAGTAAAGAATACCGATGTAAAAATTCTCTACAATCACTACTCGATATATTCTCTTCTCTTTTCTTTCATGCCAAACAACCACAGATCTAAAATCCTTCCGTAATATTTACATCCCTCTCACTCCCCCCGTAGCAAACAATTGAATGTTTTAACTTGAATTTAATTTAGTGAGAGGGAAGTTAGTAAATTACTGGCATGTGCATTATATATGACATAAATTTGTTCCTAACAAAAAAAAAAAGGAGGTTTATCTTTGCTTCGTTTTCAATACATTCTTTAAAGGAATAGGTTCTTTAACTTTGGAGCTTGGTAGTTGGTACTTGTTAACTTTGTGAAAGTTGAGAAAGACTATAAGGGCACTTTTCTAATTGTTTTATGACTTTTTTTCCATGTGTGAACTTTACACACAAACTTGATACATATATGTAGGATTTTCGTTCCCTACCTTTTCTGTCCACCAACTTAAGTGACCACCTTGATACAACACTTTATTTCATAATCTAACATTTAAAATAAAACCGCATTTGCTTAGAACGAAAGGTGAACTTAAAGTTGCATCAAACTAAAGTTGCGTAAAACAAAGATTTTTTATGAAGGTACCGTATTAGTTCACAAATCTATCGTAATTTTTACAACTTTAATGTTTAAAATTTTTACAAGTTTTAATATAAAATTCACAAATTGTCGTATTCTTTTAAAATTTATACATCTATCATGACTTACATATTTTATCGTTCAAAATTTACAAATTCCAACGTAAAATTCACAAATTATTGTATTTTGAGCACAGTACTTAGAATTTTTCTCCCGGCACCGTAAGTTCCCGTGAAACACTAGTTGAATGGACGCAATCAACATCTCACTTCTCAACAAGAAAAGCTGATCTCTAACATTTTTCTATTGACCAATACCAATCACCTAATAATGTCTTGCGCACACATATCAAGTGAACCAACTTAAAGTAAACACACAAATGGAAGAATCTCTTGACACCCCTCTTCCTGACATATTTCATCACTAAGAACCTGATACATATAATAATAGTGACAATACTCAGGAAGGTTTAAAAGTCATCACTCACTTGGAATTCAACGCATTACTTTTGGTGGGTACTAGTATTAAGGGGGTGAATAACCAGAAAAAAAAAAAAAAAAAAAAAAAAAAAAAAAAAAAAAAAAAAAGAAAGAAAGCACAAAGCAAAAGTTATGGCGTGACACTGCCAAAAGCTTCAAAAATGACAAAAGAACCACCATTGAACAGCTCACAACCTTTGACAGTTACTTCTCAGTTTTTGACAGTTTGTTCCTTTCACCATCAACAACTCACTGCCAATATATATATATATATATATATATATATGTGTATGTATATATATGTGTGTTCCTAGGTTTATTAAGTAGTTTTTTAGTGGAGGAATTCGTATCTTGATTTAAATTATTATTTATGATTTATTACAGTATTTTTTCTTATAAAAAATACACATAAATTAAAAATAATTCTAATCTCATAATTTTAATCCACGAACCAAACGTTTTCGAGCCAAAGCAATCGTCATTCTGGCCAAAAACACTATCTCAGACTTGATGGAAGCAGAGAATTTGATGGTTCTGGTATCTCCCTATTTCCCCATAATCCCTTCCATAAATCAAACCCCACCATGACTATTTGTACCAACTATTTCACATCAGCTGACATTTTTATATAAATATTTAAAAAGAACAAAAATATTTCTCATTTATAAAACCGTTTTTTCATTTACACTGAAACTCAAAAATAAATTTAAACTTAAGTTAAAATTTTATTTAAATTCATATTTTTTTTATAAAATTAAGTTTTAATGTGAGTTTAGAACTAAAATTTGAATTCAAGTTTCCTCTTCAATTTAAGTTCTTAAACTCAAACTTAAGTTAATGAACAGTATTTTTTTTATTCTTAAAAATATTATAACTTTTTCGTTTTAATTCTTATTGAGATGATTTTTTTTTCTATGCGTTCACAACGAATAGACGAATAAAACATCACCCATATACCCTATTAAAATTTTTCATCACCATTGAGTTTTTATTAAAATACTATATAAATATAAATTCAAGTTTTGACTCACCCCAACACAAACTTAAATAGATTCTCAATTCAAACTATAACTCAAAATGTGCACATCCAAACACAAACTCAAATAGAGTCTCAACTCAAACCATATTCAAATACACCTTAACTCAAATTAAGATCTGAACTCAAATCACCTTAATTCAAAAAAATATAAATGAACAAGCCCCTAGTCACTCACAAAATGGTATATCCCATTAGAATAGCTCTAACTTACTTTGAAACTCACCTCATGTAAATAACGGGATTTTAATTCTATAAGAATAAATAGGAGCGTCTAAAAAAGAACCTAACAAAAAAAAACTTAAAATATTAAGTCACCTAGTTCTTAGTGTTTACTATCAAATCTTGATTAGAAACAGTCGACCTACATATTTTTTTTTAGTTTCATGTATTTTTATCCAAATTCGATAATCAAAAAAATGACACTATCAATATTTTAACCTATTATTGAAGGAACCAAAAATTGAATATGGGTTGTTAGTAATAGACAATTTTATCATTCTTGTATATATAAAACACATATAACCTAAGGAAAAGAAAAAAAGATTGCATTACGAAATAGTATTTGAGCCTATTTTTGAAGAAATCAAAAGTAAAATATGGGTTGTACATAATGGTTGTTTTTATTAAAATTAAAAATTTTAAAAATTTAAAAAAAACTGTTGTTGCAAAATATATTACATATAACCTTAGGGGGGGAAAAGATAGTATTTGAACCAATTTCAAGGAATCAAATATAAAAGATGGGTTGTAAATAATGGATATCTTTTTCTTTTCTTTTTTTTTTTTTTTACTTTTTTTGTATATATATAATACATATAAGCTAAGGAAAAAAAAAAAGGATTGCTTTGCTAGATAGTATTTGAACCTATTTGTGAAGGACATAATTATTTTCCTTACTTTCTTTTCTCACTTTTCTCTTTTTCGGGTCCATTTTGTACCTGAGAGTTTCATGGCATGGGAAAGGGGCAACACATTTATACCAACTACTGACTAAAGGAAGCATGAAAAAGAAAGGGGCTACATTTACATTACAAACCCACAAAACCAGAAATTTAAAATAAAAAAAATAAAAGTTTGTTAGGACAGAAAATTCAAACCTATCTTTGCAGGACCAGGAATCATAGAGTAAATAAAGAATAAAGGAAAAGAGGAAAAAAGGAAAAATAATTCTTTTTTCTTATACTTTTTTTTTTCTCTCTTTTATCTATCTTGGGCCTGAGAGTTCCATGGCATAGGAATCCAAGGAATGCTCATCATCATCCTCATCCATTGTTGTTCCGAACATGCTTGAGCGTTCATGTTCACTGCAATCATGTCTCAAAGCAGTGGAAGAAGTAGTTGTAGTAAGGCGGGCTGCACTTTTGTTGTTGTTGGTGTTGTGAGGATTATGAAAGAGGTTCATGGTGGGATTAGTATTATGATTATGTGAGGCCGCCCATTTCTCGGCTAGGCCATCGCCTTCGAGCATCCGGACCACTTCTGACATCTTCGGTCGGTGGGCGGGAAGGTACTGGGTGCAGAGGAGAGCCACTTGCAGCATCTCGCCCACTTCTATCCGGTCGTAGTTGTCCCCCAGCTCCCGGTCCACCAAGAGTTCCACTTTCTTCTCTTCTTGTATCTTCTTCACCTGCCACCAACATGGACAAGTCTACTATTTCAGCATTTTATACACATGCAATAGTTATGGCTCTTGGTCTTGCAAGATATTTATCTTGGGATTGCAAATTTTGCAGAAACAATAAGCTGTTTATCCAATTATCTTTGCCAATTAAGGAAGATCAAAACAATGGCAACATATGCTACTAAATGCAGGACATAAGGAAATATTCATGGTAGGAACTACACGGTGGGATGTATGAGGGGGGCACTTTTGTGTCGTAGTGCATTATTTTAACATGGACACCCGCAGAACGGACTGTTAAAATTAATGCAAAGGTTTAAAACACTTACGTTACCGCTAGAGTAAATTTACAGTTCCTACCATATGTTTCCCATCATACAAAACATAACGGAAAGCAATTGTCCCAATGAAAGTTGAAAGTCCAATTAATAGTATAGCTAGCCTTTAGAATGAATGAAATCCCAGTTTCTAAATTCTAATAGAATTGAGGATATGTAACATATATGTTTTACTATAAATGGAGAGAAGAAACTTACCCACTCAAGCATGGCTCCCTTCTGATTCACAGTCTTGCCGAACTCCAAAGCCCTCATTCCTGTTATCAGCTCTAACAAGAGAATTCCAAACCCAAAAACATCGGTTTTCTCGGATGACTGGCCGGTGGAGAGATACTCGGGAGCAATGTGGCCGACTGTGCCACGGACAGCAGTGGTGACGTGTGAATCAGCGTGGTCAAGAAGCTTTGCAAGACCAAAATCACCAACAACTGCCTCGTGGAAGTCATCCAGAAGCACATTTGCCGCCTTAACATCTCTGTGAATGATCTTTGGATCACATTGCTCGTGTAGATAAAGGAGACCCCTTGCAGCTCCAATCGCTATCCTCTTCCTTGTGTTCCAATCCAGTGCTGGTTTTCCTGATATAGCCAAAACAAGAACAGAGGATTCATTTGGCCTTTTGGGCTGAAAATGTAGTAACAGAACACAATTTGCAAACCAAAGTGTCAATAAAAAAGGTAGAAAGTGTCAAATTAAGATTGGTGTCCCAATTCAAACAACTCTCAGGAAGAAGACCAACAACTCTTGGGAACTTGACAATTTAGTTTCAAACTTGACAATAAAAATATTATTAAGATTCCAAAAGCCTATCACTTATTTGATCACAAGATTGATTTTACTAAACTAATCAATTCAAACAAAGAAAAGAAAAGAGGACTACATCTATTAAGAACTCTTCCGAACATGGTCCAAACTAAAATTATAAATGAAGCGCGACAATTTTGTGGTTAGAGAAGCGGGGAGAAAACGGTCAAAAATAATATTTCATAAAATGGCACTAATGACTATTTGCTGCAAGACTAAAACCAACCTCTAAGCCGAGATGCCACGCTGCCATTAGACATGTAGGGGTACACCAAAAGCTTCTCATTAGGGGTAGCGCAATACCCGATTAATCGAAGCAAATTCCTATGAACCGCAAGGCTGATCATCTCTAGTTCTGTCCTAAACTGCGACTCTCCAGCTGTTCCCGTCACATCCTTCAGCCGTTTCACAGCAACCAGAGTCCCATCTCCAAGCTTTCCCTTATACACATTGCCAAAACCTCCTGCACCAAGAATGTTTTTACGCCTAAAATGGTCCGTAGCATGTTGGAGCTCCTTGAAAGTGAAGTTTCTGAGGTTGCCTAATCTTATGAGTCCCTCTTCTTGGTTATCTGTAATAGAGATAAAGATACATTTGTAAGTACCATTCTAGCAATGCTGTTAGTAAATTTGATGATTCTAGAAGTCTTCTAATAATACCGACCATTGATGTTCAAGATGGTTTGGCTCCGTTGCTTCCGCCGGTGCCAAAGAAGGATGAGAGATAGGAGTACGAGAAAGGCACAGCTGAGGCTGACCCCAAGTGCAATTGCTAGTTTCTTGGAGTCATGTTTTCCTTTATTTGTTAACGGTCAAAGAAAAAGTGAGAATATCAAATTTTACATTGAAAAGAGAAGAATAAAGGATTGGACAGTTACCCGGAGACGAATCTAGAGAGAATGAAAGAGGTATCGGAGTTATTGATCCAGAGCATCCATCAATGGAGCTACTTCCACAGATCAGTGGATTTCCCACAATACTAGAAAACAACAGACAATGATTACAATATCAGTATGTTAAAACAATTAACACTGATCACATGTACACACAGACACACACATGTATGTGTGTATATATATATATATATAGAGAGAGAGAGAGAGAGAGAAAGGGATACTTCATACTTGAACGTTCTAGCTGGAAATTTAGGCACAGGGCCACTGAGATTGTTGTAAGATAAGTCCCTGAATAAGTCAGAATCATTAAAAAAAATAAAAAAAGAACCCATTTGTCAGATTTTGAGCACAAAAGAATAGAAAGTTATCAAATTATTGCAGGTTTGTTTCAGTGTTCAAGGCCACCAAGAAGAAGCAAACAAAACAAACAAACTAGTAAGGAAGAGAAACCCGAGAAAAAACCAAAAGCCATAAATACTCACAAGAAAGCAAGCTGACGGATTTTGGATAGGGAAACAGGAAAAGCCCCAGACAAGCTATTGTTGTTCAGCCTCCTAGTCTCATTACAAGACAAACAAGACAAAACCCAGTTAACATTTTTAATAACATATAGTAATAGTAATAATATTCACTTGGTTGCTTCCAAAAATAAAAAAGAGAGAATTCCCATAAAAAGAAAACAAATAATAGCTTCTGTTCAATTTTTCTCTTCTTTCTTAGTCACCAAACAGTCAAATAATCATCAAATAAAAACAAATTAAAGCAAAAAAGAAAAGACTCACAAGTATAGGAGGCTAGTAAGCTGACCCAATGAGTCCGGAACAACACCAGAGAATCTGTTGTTGGAGAGATCCAAAGTCTGAAGCTTGGGAAGCGTGCCTAGCTCTGGGGGGATTTTTCCAGAAATGTTGTTGTTTTGCAATAACCTTCAAACAACAAACAACAAAATTGTATTCTTATTTGGCACAATCAGAAACAACCTTGTAACATATGAAAAACACTTCTTTCCAGTTCTTGAAGAGTTCAAAAGCAAATCATAGTCAAAAACAGCTAATTTCTCTTCTCTCTTTAGTCTTTACGTTCCTTGAACCGCAAACTACAAGAAAAATTAAGATAAAAGGAGAAAAAAAAGGAAGAAATGGGGTTTTCGAAATTTCATTATGTAGTTGAATACGCTTGGTTTTTCAGTTTTCTCATTACTTTTCCAGTTCTCGAGACTTCAAAAACAAAAACAAAAAAACAAAAAAAAAAAAAAAGAAGTTGAAAAGCCAGAACAAGGTAAAGCAAAAACTCAAATGGTTCTCTTTTTCTATTTTCTTTTTTTTTTTTCACTTACACTTGACGAAGATTTGTGAGGTTTCTGATTGCTCCGGAGAGAGTTCCTGAGAGAGCCTGGCTCGGAGCTCCCCTGAAAACAAAAGCACAGAACGCCATCTTTACTTCTACTTAAAAGTTTTTGAATAAAAATCACAAATAATAAAAACTCAAAAAAAAAAGAAATAAAAATAACAAAAAGAAACTTACAAGCCAATAACGAAATTTTCAGGAGAGCAAGTAATCATAGCCCAGCTACATGGGTCAACAGAGTCTCTATCCCAGTTGCTCAACGCCCCATGTGGATCATGCAAATCGTCTCTCATTATCATCAAAGCCTCAACTGAAACAAAACCCACCAAAAACATGTTCAAAAAAAAAAGTTGATCGCAAAAAAAAAAACCATGAAAATCATACGAAAATAATTGTATTACATTATAATATGAGTTTACCTTCATGGTTACGAGGTTCGTAGGAAGAAGAGAGAGAGACAGAGGAGAGAAATAAGAGGAAGAGAGAGAGGTTAAGCTTGAGCTTGAGAGCCATGGCTGCTAAGCTAAGGAATGAAGAAGGACATGTTTAACAACAACACAAAAAGGCATGAACTAATACAAAAATATAACTCCCTTCTCTCTCTCTCTCTCTCTCTCTCTCTCTCTCTCTCTCTCTCTCTCTCTGCTTTTCTTGGTTCTTTCGGTCACAGCCTCTCTTTTTTTTCAGTCACAACCCTTCTGCTTTTCCAAATTATTATATTATTATAATCTGTTTATTAAAAAAAATGAAAAGAAAAGAGAAATGGAGCAAAAGGAAGAATAGAGACAGGCCGTGTTTGAGAGAGTGTAGTCTAGAGAGAGAAAGGGAGGAGAGAGAGAGAATCAGGTGGGGCTGATACGAGTTGTCAGGAGAGAGAGAGAGAGAGAGAGAGAGAGGAGGTGGGGGGGGTTTTCGTGTGTGTGTGTTGTGCGCGCAGAAACTGAGAGTTTGAGAGCAACGTGAGCGGTTACTGCTAAAATTGTACCACACAACACTCTCAAAGTCTCACCACGTTGGTGGGGGCTACGCGCCGCGCCAGTTTCATAATACTATAGATTTTAAAAAAGTTATTTTTAACTATATTAAAAGAAAAAATAATTAGTATAAAAATAGTTAAGTATTTGATAAATTATAATTATATAAGTATTGTTAATTTTAAAAATGGTTAAGATTAAATTATTATGGGTAGTTAAGATGAATGTAATTAATAATTTTAAATTAATATATAAATTAATTAATAATTAATAATTATTTAACAAAAAAATTAATATATTAATAATATAATAATAATAGATAAATTATTATTAATGAGTACATTAGTAATTAAACTATATATAAAATAAATTAATATGCTAAATAATTAAAAAAAATATTAGTAATTAATTATAAATAATTACTGTGTTAGTAATTTACTGATATTTATTAGATTATAAGTAATTAATTAGTGTATTAAGAAAAATAATTAGTATATACATAATTTATTAATATTCTGTTTATTACTTATATTATTGTTAATATGTTATATAATTTATTTTTGGCAATTAATCTTTAACTAATAATTAATTACTATATTATTTATTATTTTATTAATAAAATTAAAAACTTAAAAGTAATAAATTAATATTTAAATTATTAATTATTTAATTAATAACCTATTAACATAACATATGTTCTATAATTAATTTTTAACAATTAATCTTTAACTAAATAAATAATTGCTATATTATTTATTACTTTATTAAAAAAATTAAAAAACTTAATAATAATAAATTAATATTTAATTGATAATCAAGTAATTACTATCTATTTATTAGTTATTAAGTATATATATTTATTAATTAATAAATAATATAATTAGTAATTAATAATTAATTATTGAATATAATTTTGTTGATAATCATTAATTATACTATGCTAATTTTTACATAATTTAAAAGCTAAAGTTGCATTTAGACTGCTTCTGATTTTAGCTGTAGATTCTTCAAAAATTCTTTAAAAATAATTTTTTATAATTTTTACCAAACACCATTATCATCTTCTGATGACTAGAGAAGTGATTTTGGGCTCCAAGAAGCACTACCAAACACACCATATTCTAATTTCTCATTTTCTTTTCAAAATACCAATCTTTCTGTTTTTTTTTCTTTTTTACTAAAATTAAGAATCATTATAATAGATTAAGAAAATACACTACCCGTAAGATGCCATTTAAGCATCACATTTGACCAACTATAATTTTTTTTAATTGGTCCATCATACATTAAATGTATAAATTAAATAAGACATTATAATTTAGCTGAATTCGATGAAAATTTTACGGTTAAAAGCTGTATTATATTAGTGGTGTCTTTTCTTATACTCTATCGAAAAAATCTTCTTCCATTCAAAATTAGAAAATTATGATAAGGTATTTTCAGACTCAACTAATCACATATAGTTTTAAACTTTGAGATTACCTTCAAATCATATCACACTGAAATTAGTGCTGTGCAAACATATGTTGTTGTTGGTGTCATATATATAATGATACATGTGAAATTGGAGTTTAAATGGGAATGTGTTGTTGGTGAAAGCATTAGTGTTTGCTTTATTTTAGTAATCTTTTTCAAGATATATAAACATAGAAAGTTCACTGTGACTTTCACAAATTAAGTTCACAATTAACTAATTATGCTAATTAAAAGTGTAAGATGAGCCAAATGACCCATTAGTACAAATGCACTACAAGCGTCTTTAGAAATTAGAACACGTGTTGGTTAAAAATCGATGATCAAATAATATTTCAGAGACACCATCAGTGTTAAGCAGTTAATAAAAGAAAAAATATCACCTATGAACTCTTATATTGTTTAATCCACTTTATATTAACGTGTAGTTCTCAACAATTCATGATGGTAAAAAAAAATAAATTCTACTCGGTTATACATTATTATCATTACATTTACGGAATTTATTTCAATTTATATAGTTTAATAATGTCTAAAAATATCATTTTAAAACTATTTTTAGTAAATATATAAGATTTTAAAATTGAAAATTATTTATTTTTTTGAAATCTAATATAGATAATGATTAATTAATCAATCAACAATTTACGAAAATCAACTTTTAGAAAAATATTTATTTGTTAATTTAAATAAACTAGACATATTTGCTTAAAGTAAACTTTAAAAGACTATTTTACTGTAGAAGTTTTCGAAAAATATTCATTGTAGCCTTTTCTTTTCCCACAGACTGTCAAACTTGAATTCAACGTAACTTCCAACAATAGTCAAATGTCTACAACTAAAATTTATATGTTACTATTAACTACAATGAACACCTTGCATCTATTTATGATTGTATTAACAAAACTATTAAAACTATTAATTAGATCACAACACCAGTTTACTCTTTTTTTTTTTTTTTTTGCTAGAAACAACACTAATTTAGGCTCCGTTCATTTTACTGATTCGAGTTTAAAATTTAAGTTTTTTTACAGTAAAAAGCTTTCATAAACAATCACATCTAACTTTTTTATTACAATAAAAAACTCTCATATAAAATTACATCTCAACTCAAATTAACGAATTAAACGGCTTCTTACTTATCATTACTTGCCAAAATGTGTTATGAGGTTGGTGAGAAAACCCCACAATGTTAATTTTGCTCCCTTTCTTTTCATTTTTTTTTTATTTTTTACTTTTTGTTTTTTTTTATTTATTTATTTTTTTGTCAGAGCGTTTGCAAGGGGAGGTTACTTGTGGCGGTAGGCCTACTGAATTTGGGTCATGATTAAGGGCCTTAAAAATGCGTAAATTTATGTTTTATTTATTTCATCGATTCAAGTTTATAATTTAATTTTGTTACAGTAAAAATTTTTTAAAAATAATTTATTTAAGTTTTTTATTATAATAAAAAAAATTTACATAAAATTATATTTTAATTTAAATTAAAAATTTAATTAAGTGAATTAAATAAAAATTTAAAATTTAAAACAGTAAACTAGAGGAAACTTGTTGTCTCTAATGTTTACATGATGGTTTCTTCTTGAAAATTCCTGACGCTGAGAAACTGAAGGACCTTTTGCCCCATTAGACGTGACTGCTGACTTGAACGCTCATTGACATGCTACATCGCCTGATCTGTTGCCAGGTGATAGTGAATAGTGCTTTATTGATTATTAAAGATTTTTTTATGGAATTTATCTTAATGGAATTCTTGAAATGCGAAGCAGATGTGTAAATTCGATCCGATCCGGAACTGCTACCGGAATAGGCCCGATAAAACAAAACGATCGATCCAAGCTAAACCGAAAACTAATGGTTTCAAGTTGGGTCACCTCGTTGTGAAATTTAAGTTATCGTTTATTTAAATTTTTAATTTGAATTAAAATATAATTTTATATGAGAATTTTTATAACAACTTGAAGAATAAAACAGATTTAATTATATTAATTATGATATATTAGTGTCTAATTTAATTTTCTCAATTAATCATGTTTATTATTGGATTGTTTGGTTGCTATATTCATGTCATGATTCGAATCATGGATCGTGGTTCGTTACAGTATTTTTTCTTACAAAAATACACGTAAATCAAGAATAGTTCTGAATCTATCAACCAAACGATTCTCATCTTCAAGTTTTAAATATTTCTAAAGAATTTTAATTATTTTCAGTATTTACAATTCCACTTTAAAGGTATGTGGAAATGCATATTCTTACATATTCTTCAAAATATCTTTTGATGTTTATTTTTATTTTTCTCTCTCTTTATCTTTTCATTTTTCTTTTTCCTTTTCTTTCTTCTCTCTCACCATAGCCCTCTCACTTTCTCTCTTCTCTCAGATCTCACACTCTCTCTTTCTCTCGTCTCTCCCCTTCACACACACTCTCTCTCTCGCTGACTCCCTCTTTCTCTTCTCCTCAGCTCCCTCTCTCCCTCACTCGTCTCTCTCTCCTCTTCTATTTCTCTCAAAATTTTCACTCTCTCTAAGGGAGTCTTGTTCCAAAATTGAGCCAAAGGGGATTTCTAAGAAGCTTTCATCACCAAAGAAAAAAAAAAGACAAATTCTTTGAAAAACTCACTCTTGAATCTTAGATTTTTTTTTTTTTGGTTTAGTTTGGTGAAATTTTAGTTTAAGCTTGATTTTGATGGGTTTTGGTTGAAATCATGATGAAATTTGAGGGTTTTTGATTGTTTGAACTTGTTGAAATGATTGGAACTTGGATTTCGTGATTCTCCATGAAAATATCTTGAAATCGAACCTGAAAATACAGGTTTTGACACTTTTTCTTGTAATTCGGTCATTTTTTTCCGAATTACAGAATTCCACCGGTTGACCGGAACGGTCGACTGGTCTCTACACAACAGGCCAACTGGTGGAGTTACACTCCTCTACCACCGGTCGACTGGTTTGCAATTACTCCAACCTAAAAATGTTCTAAAACCTTGTTTTGACCTCAAATTTCAATGGAGAACCAAATTAACTTCATTTCGAAACTCAAAGTGAGTGGATTAGCCACATTAATCCTTGTTCTATCCTATCTTTCTTGTTTGAGTGTCAATTCTCAAAGAATCACAATTTGGATTGTGAAGTTGTTTATAAACTTTG